ACTTCCTTTTTACAAAAATTTATAGTAATGTCATACATAATTTTTAGAAAAAATATAGTTTAGACTTTTTAATTAATTTTATTTTCTTTTTTCTCTTTTTAAAAATTAAAAAATTGGAAAGTTAAAAATACAAATACGGATGTAAGGATAATAAGGATAAATAAAATTTTATTTTTCTATTTTTCAATATTTTTTGGAATTTTCTTTTCACTTTCTTTCTACTAAAGACACATTCTTTTTTTTATAAACCACGTGTGGTAAATGTTTACTAGAAAATATATATTGATGTGTGCAAAATATTTAGTAAAAAAATTATTTAGAAAACATTCGTCATTCGACAGAGCCCTTTTCATTTTTGTTATTGCCTCTAGTTTATTTTTATTTAATTTTTTATTTTAAACAGCTGACTATTTTTTAATTTAATAAATTTATTTGAATGATGCAACCAATTATAAACTTTATAATAGTACAATTTTGACATTTTTATAAATTATCTCGTCTCACAATTCTAAAAATCGAAAAGTAGCAAGGAAAAACTTGTTCATAAGTCCCAGAATCAAATCCTAACAAATTATATATCATCCGAAAGAGCTCGTCGAGCTAAGTCGAATGACTCCAAAATTTTCGATACTTTATTTTAGACCTAGATACAGGACTCGCAATGGTCAAAACCATAGGGACGTAAGCACATTTTTGGGGTGAAAAATTCGATTGAACAAACGATAGTTCATTCGAAAGGGATTCTGCTGAGTTGAATGGTACCCGGATCAACGAGATCGAACGAGTTTGGACAATGTTACGACATAAAGAAAAACAACGTAAATCTATGGGGCATCGGCGAGCCCGTTTTTTTAATTTCTTGAAACTTTTATCATCTACCTATTTTTATTATTATTTATTATAATATCTTTAACGGATCAAGGTTAACTAACTAAGATGATTTTCATCAATACTTATTATTTAATCAATCACTTTTTTATATCCTCCTCCTTCCTTTTTTTCTCCTTTTTACTTTCCGCATTCTCACACATGACTGGCAGTCCGCCGAACGCGGCAACAGCTTTTTTCTTCTCTTTAAAATAAATAAATATTTATATACACTTCACCGACCGCGTGTTGAACAAAATCAATTAATTCACGTTTTTAACTACTTTTTAAATACTCTAAAAATAAATATTTATCTGATCAAATTTATTTTAATTCTATTTAATTTTAACACCAATTTGTTAATCAATATTTCAATTAAATCTTTTTGTCGGTTCACTTTTTTGTTCTTCCCATCCTTATATTTTTTAGTTAACATTAATTGAGTTGTCAGTTCTGGACCGAACCGAAGAACCGACGATTTTTTGGTTCGGTTCCGAATATCCGAAAATTTTCCAAAAACCGGCAACCCTAAACATTGAGCATTCTTTAAATATGAGACTGAACTAGAGATCGATCAAAAATCCTGGATCTGGATCCAGGAAAAATCCAGACTGGATCCAGATCCAGACCGAAGAATCCTGGATCTGGATCCAGGAAAAATCCAGACTGGATCCAGATCCAGACCGGAAGAAAAAACCATTAAATTATTTTATTTATTGATCACTTCTAATTTTGCTCCTCTTCCTCTAAACTCTAATTAATATTTGATTATTTTTTTGCTGCTTTAATTTTTTATTATTATTTTAAATTAAATTTTTTTTTATTTCTAATAATTTTTAAAATTTTTGATAATGATCTCTCTCCTCTTCTTCTTTTCCTTTCTTAGAATTCTTATTTATTATTCACTTTATTTAATGATTAATTATTATTTATTTGTTTTATATTTCCTGTAATTGGGCATTTAAAATTATTTTAATCTGCGCACTTTTCTCTCTTTTTAGTTTCTTAGAATATATTTTTATTTATTTAAAAGTTTGTTTGGATAATTTTTAAAATGAAAATATTTTTTGTTTTTTTTCTAATTTTTTAGTCTTTTTTTGAAGATAAATGGAAAAATAAATTGACTTTGAATTTTTGTTTAGATCAGACTAGGACACGGATACTAATTTTGGTATCCGTATCCGGATATTTACGGCGGATACAGACGGATATCCGCAGGCATTTTTACAATATCTGTATTCGTATCCGTATCCATGACCATGTCTGGTTTAAATCATCCTCAATCTATTTATTTACACATACTTAGTATATCGGATTCGGATATCCGAAATTTTCGGTTGATCCTAGAACTGCATAACTCATTTGAGGGGTTAGTGGACCACTCACAACAGTTGAAAAACTTAACTTCTTTGCTCCATTTTACTCTTGTTAAAAATCAAATTAACTTTTCCTTTCCCATTCGAGGAAGAAAGGAAAAATTGGATGCCAGCATTCCTTTCGGATAGTGCCAAATTTTATATATTAAATTTTAATTTATCCCAATAATTATTTTACTTTTAAACAAAATTTCTTTTTTATTTTTGTTTATGTTTACTTCATTAGAGCCAAATACATATTTACAAATTAATTTTTATTTTTACTGTAAAATAAAAAGCATGTGTATTTACATCTATTTAGCACATGTACTTTTCTAAAAAAATATTTTTCTTTGCCAATTTTATCCTTTTCTCATTATTTTTTTCTCTTTCACATTGCTCACACACACTCACATATATATACATTTTTAGTGTAATCCTCTAAAGTTTCTCAAAAGATAAAAAAATTTTTTTAAGAGTGTGTCAGGCAGTACAAAACAAGCTAAAAACGAGCTTACAGCTGGCTATACAAAAAAGCAATTATTATTTCCAACTTTTTATTATTTATAGTTTTGGCGCGGAAATGTTTGTGAACTGAATCGAAATAGAAAAAAAAATTTTTTTTTTTTTCGAAGTTTCGAAGCCAAACGAAATGAAGAAAGGGCATGAAATGCAAAACGAAACAAAAAATTTCGCGAAGTCCTGGGAGGACCTAAAATCGTACAAATTTTTTTTTAAAAAAGTTGACTTAAATTTTGCTTTTAAAAATCTTTTAAAAATCTACCGAAAACTATTTTATTTTTCTCAAAAAAAAATAATTTTATAAAATAATTGTCTTAATATCCAACCGAAACGCGTATTGAGCGTGTATTAATTTACGTAATAAATTAATTTAAATTGTTATTTTTTTAACAAAATTTAATTTAAATTTTTCATTTGACGATTTTAATTTATATGCGCCAACTACTTCCCTACGCCAAAATATTCCCTTCCCTCCCTCATTTACTTAAATAAATATTTTTTTATTTCCTTCTTTTTTTTCACTCCAAATATTAAAATATTGTGCAAATTTGCGGATGTTAATTTGCGGATCAATAAAAAAATTATTTAAATAAAAATATTAGTAAATGCTTTCTTTTTTTAATTTTAAATTTTAGCAGCTTTTAATTTGTTAAAAAATATTAAAATTAAATTAATAATTGAAAAATAAATAATATGTCGGACTTTTGAACACGAGTGAAATACCAGAAAAATTTTTTTATTTAAAATTGTAGATAAATTTGGAATTATTTTTGGTATTTTTTGAGGAAAATTGAAGTTAGTATTTATGCTTTTTAAAATTATTTGGATAATAAAACTTTTACTTAATTACTATGTATTAGGTCGGGTCATAATTAGTGTTGTTTTTTAAATTTAATTCTTAAAATTAAGTTTTTTTGAAAATATGTTTTATTTTTATTCACCTCTAAAATTTAATCTAAAAGCGACACTAATTATGGCCCTGCCAATAATTTTTTTTAAAAACTACAATTGAAAATGAAATTTCAAAGGCGATATTTCCTTTAAATTTTAACAATCACAGATTCCAAAATTCTGAAATTCTTGGAATATTTAATTAATTAAGAAAAGAGATTTTCATAATTCTAAGGGCAACAAACTATCAAAATTACGTCATATTAAATGTCTATTAATTTTATTTTAAAATCTTTATATTTTATTTTCCCATCACCTTTATTATTTTCCCATAAAATATTTTTTAAAGTACTTTTATTTTTACTTAAATTTATTTAATGCCTTTTTAATTTTTTTAAAAATTATATTTCTATTTATTACGTAAATGGCACTATTTTTACATTTCTTCTTTTAAATAATTTCCATTTTGTATGTTAAAAATTTGTAACTAAAACACCTGTCTTTTAACAAAAAATTTAAAAAAAAATTATTCTTTTTTTCTATTTATTAGTCATTTAAATAAATAAATATACTTTTAATTTTTTTAAAAGTAAAAATATTATTTTTATATTTTTTGAAAATACTTTGAACCTTTTTTTTAATTTGTTTTTTAATTTAAATTTTATTAATGCTTGAAGGTTGCTTATAATGGCTTAAAAAAGATTACCGTATTTACTCGATTAATTCTTCTGGGGAATTATTCGAGTTTTGAAATTTGAAGGTGTAGTAGGGTATTTGAGGGAGGGAGATTATTGTTTCAACTAGCAGGGGGAATTATTTGAGAAGGGGAAGTGTTCAAGGGAGGGAAATTAATCGAGTAAATACGATAGGAAAAAAAAGTTTGTAAATTTCTGGGTTACCTAATATTTTTAGATTTGGGGACCTAGGCTATTTTTTGGGACCTTATTTAGCTTTTTATATCTTCTCTTAACTTTTTTTATATTCTGCCAAACTTCCCAAAAAGTATTTATCACTCGGGTAATTTGTTTTCATGTTATATCAAAGAAATAAGAATTGAAAAATAGAGCCGGCCACCCATAGTTTTTTTCTCAATATTTTGTCTGTGATTTTATCACTTTTATTTAATTATCTCATTTATTTTTTCATTGAATATTTATATTTTATTTACTATACTAATTTTCTATTGAATTTTAGTTTTATATTTTGAGGTTATTTTCTCTCAAAAATTTTCTTTCCATCACCCATAGTCTGTCCAAAAATTGAAGAAATTAACACAAAATAATTTTTCTAATTTTTTTTATTATCAACTTTAATTAAAATGTTTAAAACAAAATAAATTAAAATTAACTCTCTTTAGATTAAAAATAACATTTTATTTTTACTTAATTTATTTAAAACAAAATTCCTTTTTCAACAATAAATACATGGTAGAAGAACAACAAAAACGTAAAAGAACACCTTCACAATTAGTCTGTCCAAAAATTGAAGAAATTGGACTTTATTGTGGAACAGCTTCAAATAATAATTTAATAGCGACAAATAATTCTGGACAAATTTATAATTGTCAAATGAATCAAATGACGTTTATTGGAGGACAAAATGTTGCCCAATGTAGGGATTTTTTTACAACAAATTTTTCCAAAAAAGATTTTATCTTGGTTGATTTTCAACTCCTTTCAAGGGAAGAGGGAAACTAATATGTATATACCTATATCTATCAGATCTTTATGGCATTGGGGCTGGAGATGGGCTGGTTTATCCGTAACCCGATCCGGATAAAATTTTGAAAACCCGACCCGACTTTTTTCTCAACCTGACCCATCCCAGATTGGGGGCCGAATTTTTAACTTTCCCTTTAAATATCACCCATTAAATATCACTCCATGATTTTTCTTCCGTTGACATTCTTCTTTTTAAATTTCTTTTTTAACAGTTTTTTCTCCGGTTTCCTTGTTTTTTCTTAGCTAATAATACATAAGGCTTTTTTGTTTGCGCGGTCAGAAAATAAACCCAAATTGTTGAATTATTTAAAAAAAATTTCTGTTTAGTTTATGTGAAAATACAGATTAGCCGACTTTTGCGGCGCGTACACTTGCGGCTCAGACATTTGCGGCCCAGACACTTGCGGCTCGCCCCTATTTTGACACTTGCGGTCCCGACACTTGCGGCTAAGAAATTTTCGGCGCAGACATTTGCGGCTATCAACTTGAGGCCCAGACACTTGCGGCCCAGACTATTGCGGTTTTGCCATTTGAGGCTCCCCCCTATTGTGACACTTGCGGCCCGACATTTGCGGCCTCGACATTTGCGGCCTCGACATTTGCGGCGATATTTAAAAATTAAGTAAATTAAAAATTGAGTAAATTATTTCGCTCCGAAACGAAACGAAATGGATAAAAGGGCACGAAATAGCGAAACGAAATGAAACGAAATTTAGGTTATCTCTGGTCCGGATCCTGGTTTAAAAAAGGCGCTGGGGGCTGGTTTAAAAAAGGCGCCTGGTTTAAAAAAGGCGCCAGACCAGTGGGCGTACGTCCCGAACATGAAAAAATGCTTTGGAACCAACACCAACTTTGCAATACTAAGAAGAATCCAATTATTTTTTGATTGGACTCATAAAGTTTCATTGGACGCATAAAAGTTCATTGGACGCATAAACTAGACCAGCGCCCTAAAAAATTCGGATTTCCGGATTTTCCGGATTATGATGCCAAGGAGAATAAACTTGGAGAATAAACTTATTTTATTAAACGATAAATTAGTATTTTTTCATTTTAATTTACTTAATTTTTAAATATCGCCGCAAATGTCAGGGCCGCAAATGTCGAGGCCGCAAATGTCGAGGCCGCAAATGTCGGGCCGCAAGTGTCACAATAGGGGGGAGCCTCAAATGGCAAAACCGCAATAGTCTGGGCCGCAAGTGTCTGGGCCTCAAGTTGATAGCCGCAAATGTCTGCGCCGAAAATTTCTTAGCCGCAAGTGTCGGGACCGCAAGTGTCAAAATAGGGGCGAGCCGCAAGTGTCTGGGCCGCAAATGTCTGAGCCGCAAGTGTACGCGCCGCAAAAGTCGCATCACCAAAATACATACATATATTTTGAAACATAATATTTTGAATTTCTAAAAAATCACACATTTAAATCATTTTTTCTAATTTTTTAAAGTACAAAGTATTCCTCCTCCTCCTCCCCTTCCTCATCCATGTGACATTCTTTCAACTAATGAAGAAATTGTTGATAATAGTAGTAATATTATTCAACCTTCACCAACAACAACTACTTGCCTTTCTGACCAAAATAATATGTCTCAAAATCAGCAACACCAACATAAACAGCAACAATCAACTTCTAATTTTGTTAATAATCTTTCTTCAAATCCCCCAACAGAAAAAAGTAATTCCTTAACTTGTACAGTTTGTGGGGATGTAGCGACGGGGAGACATTATGGATCTGTTGCTTGTAATGGGTGTAAAGGATTCTTTCGTCGGACAATTAGAAGGAATTATAAATATACTTGCCGTTTTAATTCTAATTGCCAAATTGATAAACGTGAGTTTGCTTTTTTAATTTAATTTTATTTTTGGACTGAAAAAGAAATATTTGAAAGCTCGACATTTTTAATGTTATCTATTTTCAATTAAGCTGTCGAAAGGCCAAATTTCCATTAATAACTCCAGACTTACTTTGATAACTTGTGAAATAATCTGAACCTTGATAATCTAAATGTTGTCAAAAAATAAATAAACATTTTTTTCTGGTCTAAAATTAATTTAAAAATTCATATTAGGTCATTTTACTTGTTTAACTTCAATTCATAATATTGCGACATTTACTTTTAATTATAATTTTGTTTCCAAAATTTTATTTTTAGTTTTTAAAATATTAATAAAATACATAAACTAAGATTATTTTTAATCCCTTTAGATAATCGTGCCGTTTGTCGAGCTTGTCGATATTCACGTTGTATTATGTTTGGAATGAAAGTTGACGGTAATTCGTTATTGTTTTGCTTAAAAAAAGTTTTTCTCTTTTTAAGCTGTTCAAAGTGAAAGGGACTTAATTGGGAAACGTTCTCGTTATTCCTCTGCTTCAGGTACTCCTGGGCCCATTCCAAGCACCTCTTCCCCGCCCCTCCAACACCAACAAAGTTTGGAAGAAGAGGGACAACTTTCACCTATTTCGAAAGATGAACAATTACATCAACAAACACAGCAAGGTGGGTAGAAGATAAAAGCTTGGAAAGACAGTATTTTATACTGTCACATAATTTTGCCTTTTCCTTTCGAAAATTGGGGTACACCCCAAGGTACCACAAGTCCAAGGTACCGCCGAGCTATAACTTTGTCTAAAATTTTCGAATCCGGGACGCCCTGGTATGGTTTGATGCGCCTCGACGAGCTGAATTGAACCATACCAGGGCATCCCGGATTCGACAATCTTGAAGAAAGTTATAGCTCGGCGTTACCTTGGCCTAACTGTAATTTCCATTTATTAATGAGCTTCATCTCATTTAAAACCTTTTAAGTTGCACAACAACCTCAAACACAAAATATTTTGTCAGTCTCCTCGCAACAACAAAATAGTGGAATTAATCGTTCAAATATTCCAACAACCCAAACAGATACTTCCCAACTTTGTGAAGTGGACATAGATGAACATGTATCTAGAAAAAGATCTTTATCTAGTGGTAATCACTATGAACAGCTTAAACCTGCTAGAAGGTGAATTTAAATTTTTAGGGATTTGTTAATATTAGGGTCTCTGTACTTTTTTATCATTTTTCCGAAAAAAGGCTTCCAATTACGAATGTTATCGCTTTTTATGAAACAGGGGGGGGGGTTAACTCAAATTTTGGGTCGATTTAAATTTCCTTGAGTCAGTTTTTAAATATTTTTTTGCAGAAATTTCACTACCAACAGCCATACAATACCTCATCAACTATTAACAACAACAACAGAACAGCAACAACATCAAAACCAAACACAACCTGAATTAAACTCAATTAATGAAGCTGACCCTTGGAGTGGACAGAATGGAAGGGCTTTATTACGACATTTGCTTTGTTCGGAGGAAAAAATTAGTAATATGCGAGATACTGTTGTTGCTCATGCTTGTACTCTTCAATATTCGACTAGAGGGGTAATTTTTTTGGGGGGAAATAATTTTCTCTATAAGACTATTTGGAATTGATAATTTAGTGAAGATTATCTTTTTATTTGAGAACCGTCCCATCAAAAACTATTTTGTTATAATGAAACTTTACGGGGACGAATTGGAACCTTGTTACAGGATTAGATAGCCTTATATTTTTATGAATGTAAGGGATCATGCTAATAATATTTATACATATCACTACTTGTTGCCCCTCCTTTTGGCCAAAATTAAGAGCAAATTAATAAAAATATTTAAATTTATTTTTTTATAATTTTAGTCTCGATTTCCATTTACTGGGGATGGAAACACAAGAAAAGCTAGTGAAAATGATATTTTGCAGTCTTTGCACACACAATTACTTTTAGTTATCGGTAAATTAAGTAAATAAATTTTTACAACAAAAAATTTTTTTAAAGAATGGGCAAAGACGTTAAAACCTTTTGCTGATTTACCTACAGAAGATCAAGTAAAACTAAATGATTTTTAAATTTTTTTCAATTTTTAAAAATTAAAGACTGCTTTACTTAAAAATTTTGCTGCGCAACATGTTGTTTTGTGTGTTGCTTATCGTTCTACAACTGATTTTTTAAAATTAATAAATGATTCTTGCATTCCGCGTATAGTTAATGGAGCTGAAAAGGAGTGAGTTTTTTATTTAAAAATTGTCTGATCTCGTAATAAGATATCCTCTTGAGGTTGAAAGATTGTATCTTATAATTAGGTTTATCCTAATAGGGAGGGGGCATCAGCCGTGCTGGATATTGGACGTTTGTTGACTCTGGCTCCGACCTTTTTCAAATTTTGGCTCCGGCTTCGGGGATTTATAAATTTTGGCCTTGGTTCCAGGGTTTTCATAAGCTTAGCTCCGCCTCCGGAGCTAAGGACAGCACACGGGATTTTTAGAAAATTCAGTACGTCAACCAAATTAAAACAAGCATATATGAAAAAGATCTTTCTACGTGTATTGGAAGGTATTACTAGGGTTATCGGTTCTGGGCCGAACCGAACCGAAGAACCGAGGATTTTTCGGTTCGGTTTCGGATATCTTAAGAATTTCCAGGAACCGACAATCCTAATTATTACAGTGTGAAGCCGACTGATGTCATTTTTGTTCTTTTAAAATTAAGTAAAAGTACATACTATGTATTTTTTATAAAAATTTAGCCATGCATTAAATATAAAGCTAGACTTTCTTTTGATTAATTACAAGAATGTACAGATTATTTTTTTTTATTTTTTAGTCTTTTTTATCGAAGAGATGCTGAACGTGTAATGGATATGTTAGTTTCTCCAATGCGCTTTCTTAGAATGGATGATGTTGAATTTGTGGCACTTAAAGCTTGTATTCTTTTTAATCCTGTAGCTCGTGGTCTTTCATCTAATAGTGTTATGAGTATTTTACAAACAAGAAGACACATCTTCAGAGCTCTTCAAAATTATGTTCGAGCAAAGGCACCTAATGATGAAGATAGAATTGGGGATTTAACTTTTTTTGTTTTGTCTCCTTTACAGGTGATTTTAGTAGATATTAATTTATAAGGGTGTA